TGTGAATTCGTGATCCTCCTGCCTCAGCCTCCCAAGCTGCTGGGAGTACAGGCGTGTACCACCACACCTGGTCAGAGTTTCCACTTCTGAGTCGGCATTCCCAATGCTGGGTTAAACAGTTTATTCAACTTTATTTTTTTAAAATTATTATTGTGCCTGGCATTGAACCCAGGGGTGCTTAAATACAGAGCAACATCCTCAGCCTTTTATTTTATTTTTATTTTGAGACAGGGTCTCACTAAATTGCTTAAGTCCTCCCTAAGTTGCAAAGGCTGGCTTTGAACTTGGAATTCTCCTGCCTTAGCCTCCCAAATTACTGGGATTATAGGCATGCAACACTGTGCCCAGTTTAAAAACTGTCTACTCAAAAGAATAAGACATAGTGAACTTCATCAGTGAGTTAACAGTCCAGCAGGGATGCAAACACGTGTGTCAATAGCTATGTGATGAAAAGGCTAATTGTGACACGTATTGTGGGATTGCCACAGAATGCAACAATATCATCAGTATTTACAATGCTGATTATGTTACACCACACCAATTTCCTTTAATCCTCACACAGTCTTATGAAAGGATATTAGCACTGTCATCTCAACCTCACAGAGAAGGAAACTGAAGTACAGTTTGTGGTCTCGTATTTGGTAAATGACAGAACTTGGATGTACTTCAGGGGAGCTGGTTCTGAATTCTGTTCTCTGAACCATTGCTTATACTATTTCTCTGATGACCAATTGTATAATAGCTGTGCCTAATATCATTTGATGATGCCCCTGAAATGAATACTTTTTAAAAACGTGTGTGTGGTGGGGGTGATTAGTGGGTGTCACCATGTCTGAACTCAGGTAGAGAAAATCCCTTAAGTAACAAGACCCAGAGTGCACTGTGATGTTCTGAGAACCACAGTTCAGCTGCAGTAACCCATGTGTGGAATTCCTTTTGGGCTACCTGGGGGATTCTGAATTTCATTCTCTGGTTAGTAAATGTTACTCAGAACTTCAAATCAGGTAGGTATGTGATTCCTGTGATTACGTTGACTTTTACAAATTATTCAATATGTGGTGTATATACACAATGGAGTTTTACTCAGTCGAAAAGAAGAAAGAAATTGTCATTTGCAGGAAAATGGGTGGAACTGAAGAGAATCATGTTAAATGAAATATGCCAGATTCAAAAAGTCAAGGATCATGTGTTTTCTCTTGGATGTGGAAGCTAAAGAGAAAAAAAAGGGAAATAAGGCGGGGATTTTGTGAAAATAGAAAGGAGACCAGTAGAATAAAGAAAGAGGACTAGGAAGAAAAAGGGGAAGTACTGGAGAATGAAATTGATCAAATTATGTTATGTGCATATATGCATTTATCATAATAGATCCCATTTTTGTAAAATTGTAACACATCAATCAATAATCTTTAAAAAACAAAAATTTTTAAAAGCAACAGGAAAATCATTTGGAGAAGCTATATTAGAGGCAGGTAAATGACAATGTAGTACAGGTAATATAATGGTGATTTGATTAATTCCCCCAGTGGCAGGAGGGAAGGCTGAGCCGATGATACAGTTTAGACATAGAAAGAACAAAATCTAATGAAAATTTTGATCATGGCGAATGTAGAAGAACCCAAAAGAAAGAATCCATACTATAATCTGGATTTGATAGCCTAAGTGACTTTTAGAGTGATTTTTTTAAACAGGAAAGATAATTTGGTAAGTATTCTCCACTTAAATTTGTGTGGTTTGTATCGTGAAGTGTTGATGAAGATCATGACCTCAGTTTGGGACTTGCAAAGACACATGTAAACAGTGGTAGGGCTCTGAAGCTTTATGTACTAAACTGTGAGGTCTTTAGTTCCTAAAAATAAGTTAAAAAAAAAAAAGCAGGTAGAAGGGGAAGAATCAGAAGAGGAAACTGAAGGCAGTAAAATGAGGAGCATGAAGAAATAGCAAAGAGTGGATCCAAGAGAAGAGTTTCAAAACAGTATAAATGGTGAATTAAAAAAAATCAAATGTATAAGATGTTAAATATGTAAGTGGACTAAAAACTGTAGTTACAACTGTCAAATTTGGAGATCTCTGGGGACACCAACAAGAGAAATTCCTGTGAGTTTTGGTCTAAAATTCACATTTCAACAGGCTGAATCAGAAAAGACTAAGGACGACAGTTGTGTAGAATACTGAAGATGTTTATCAGGAAAGAGAAGATCTGGTTGCTATACAGAGGGTCCTGCCAGTGGAAAGGATTATTTTGTTTCCAACATCTTTGTAGGTGGGGGGGAATTGAAGTGTATAATGTACAGAATAAAAGTAATATTTTATGGGCAGCAATGTGTTGAAAAGAGAGACTGATTTATGGAATAAAGTTCTTTATTTTATGAGATTAGATAAAAATCAATAATTTGGGCTGATGTGGTGGCACATACCTATAATCCCAGCTACTCAGGAGGCTGAGGCAGGAGGATCACAAATTGGAGGCCAACCTTGGCAACTTAGTGAGATCATGTCTCAAAAGAAAAGACTAAAATAAAAGGGCTGAAGGTGTAGCTCAGTGGTAGAGCACTTGCCTATCATGTGTAAGGCCCTGGTTTAATACCCGCTTCCACACAAAATAAATAAATAAAAGAATGTGGGTCCTTTTAGCATCAAAGGTTTGTTCTTGAGTAAACTATTCATTATTGAGACTATTCAAGTGGGAGTAGGAGCGGGCATTTGATGGTCTATATCAAATACCATTGCTTCTGTATCGCTTTCCCTTTATGCTAATTGTCAAGGGCATCAGACTCTCCTTAGAGTAAGAGACTTGCATTTGACTCCCAGCTCTTCCTCAGACTGAATGGCCTCATTTACTTATCTGTAAAATGGGAATGTTAGTACTCACCAAAGGAGTTATCATTAGTTCATGAAATAAACCATTCAAAGTATGTTCGTGTGCGCTTTTAAATTTTGCTTCAGAATCAGCCAGCAATACAGTGCATTTTAGAGATAACTGAAAGTTATATGGAAAACAGATAACATTTGTGAGTTAGTATTAATTACAGTGTATGTGACAATGATATTGTCATTGTGGCATAATGTCTGTAATTTTGAAGATGTGTATTGAATAATTTAGGGGTGAAGTTGGTTATGATGTCTAAATTTTGCTTTGATATGGTCCAGCAAAAATATCTATTGATCTAAATAGCGATTAACACAATTGTAATTCAATAATTAAGTGTATAATTAAGTATAAAAATAAGTTATCCTATTTCTATCTTTAACAACATAAACTCTATGATACGAGGACTAGGTACATCTAGGTCACTGTGCATCTTCAATCCGTGACATATAGTCTTGGGAAACAGGTAGACTCATATTTGCATAAGAGATATACACACATACAAATATGTAGGTATGAATACACACACACGTGTATATATATATGAAACACTGTAAAACATTAGCACTTGCTGAATCTAATGAGTGGGCATACAGGTGTTTATGTAACTATCATTTCTGTTTCTCTGTATGTGTACCCATTTTCAAAATAAATTACTTACTCTAACAATATGTATTCATTTAACTCTCAAATCAGATATATCCATTTGAATCAATGCCCCACTGAATTAAAAATATCAAGTAATTTGTAAATAGTGTATGTTCAGTAAATGTCACTCCTTCTGTTATAGCACCTATATTGTGTCAGTCACTTAGCACACTATGTCTCATTTCATAGCTTTTGAATTAACTATTATGTCTCAGCTATGCAACTTAATTCTAGAGGACTTTCTTGGCTGGGTCTTTACTTTTCTCAACTCACTAAGTCTAAAGTGCTTTTGTGGGGGGGTGGGGGTAAGTAAATATGCTTGTTGGCTAAATAAATGGATATCTTTAAGCTTCACTCCTGGAGGGAAATCTACATCAACAAGGGGACAAAGGCCCAAACTTACACCCTTGTTTATTACCAGTGGTTAACTCTTAATGGAAGGTGGACTGCAAAGTTCTTGCAGGAGGATGTCTTCTCGAATACTGTGATCTTTAACATCTATAGGACATACCACTGTGCCTGGTAGACTCCCTGGATGTTTGTTGAATGGATGAATAAATGACTGGTGGAATGAATGATGGTAAGAATAAGAGATAATTATTTAAACACTCAACGTCTTAGTGATTTCATTAGAGGTCACTGACCAAATAGAAAAATGGAATTTAATTCATTCTATCTTTTATATTGATCTTCAATGAGGCCTTCATCACAATTGATTCTTTAAGAAGATTGAAAGAAATGGGGGAAACCCAACATAAAAGGCTGTGAAACTACAATAAACAACCAACCAAAGAATGATTATTGTTGATTATAAGACAGTCAAAGCAGAGAGAAAGCAAGAGGAGGTGAGAAAAGAGTTCCAACTAAAGATACTCTGAATCCAAGGAATTGTAGAGAGGCCAGACCATGTAGATTAACAGTCTTATTTTTCAGAGGAGGAATTTAAAGCTAACTAAGAGGCTAATTAAACTGAAGAATGAGGACACAATCACCTGAGTTACTACCCTGACTTCTGTCTATGACCATTACCCAGACTATCAGAAGGAAAGAGAAAAAAAGCATTATTGATGTAGGAATTAACCCCAGGCACACACTTGAAATTATTGAAAGCTAATTTCTATAATGATTATCAGAGGTGTCACTCTTCTCCTAAAGAAACACAGATAATTCTCACTGTACCTATACTTCCCTCTTCACATCCAGTTCTTCACTGTGTCTCATCACTGGGGGAAGTGGTGGGAGGAGATTAGAAGTTAAAAAAAAAAAAAAGAAAGAGAAGGGCTTCCTGTAGACAGAGGAATTGTGCAAATAGAGATCAGAATCACATGTGGGAATAAAAATTATTCCAATGTTAAAAAAAATAACAAAACAGTCTGGTTTAAATAACTGACACAAAAACAAAACATATTTGACCCTTTTTTCTTTGGTACTCACTCAGACTTCAAGCTAGCAATTAAGACAGAGAAAATATATATGGTTGACTTACCCGTTCTGTATGGCGGCTGTGGGGTCATAGGTCAGAGCCATGCCAGCCTGCACATGGGGGGAGAGGGGAGGAAACAAGTCTCAGTATTTTTATTAGAACACCCAAAACATTCAGTTCAAAGATTTTTATCTTTACTTTTCATGATTTGTGTTTATTTTCTCCTATATATTACTTCACACTTACTGCCCAAACTAGCACAAACCAGACTCCCACCAGTGAGTTGGGAGTTTAGATAATACCCAGACAAACCAAGGTGCATTGGAACTTGGATGATTTCCATTTCTACTTCATAAACCATCCGCTGTCTAATTTGGTATCCTTATAATTTCTCACTAGTGTCAAGAGCAGCTCTTGTGGGTTTCATGGCTGGCACGAAAAAAAGGAAGAATGAATCCTGTAGTCTGGATAAAAATAAAAGAGACTTAAAATGCATTCAACCTGGTAGAAGAAACTTAGGAAATATTTATTTTAAAATAGATCCCATGCAGGGAATGAATGACAAAGCGCTTGTCATATGGATTTCTAGTACCTGTTCTATCAAGTATGGTAGGAAAGGGAGATTATTTACATATGACAGAAATTTTAGGCCACATGGCTAATAACGAGGTAGTTTTGTTCTGTTTCTAAGAATAAAGCCACCTCTGAAAAGCTACGCTTCTGTAACCTGACATGTTCTCAGAAAAGAATACAAGCTTGAGGATTGCTGGTTCATAGCCTGCCATGTCCCTGCCTATACAGCACCATATTTGATCCTCACAACAACTCCATGAAGTAGGCAGGAACATGATTTTCTCCATTTTATTGATGAAGACACTGAAGCTGGGAAAGATCAAGCCTCTTGCTCAGGGTCACAAATTTGAAGGCAAAATCAGATTTTAACCCAAATCTTCCAATGTGGGCTGCTTTTCGCTCTTCTGCTACAACACTGGCCTAGGGTTGGAAAGTGTCCAGAGGATCCATCAGGGAGAACCTTCTCTGTGGCTATCGGAACACATCACCTTTGGTTTACCAGGGTGGGCAGTATGGTTATCACCTGTGTGTAGGAATAAAATGTAAAATGCAACTTAAGACTGCCCAGGTTGTCTTTAGGGAGGATTTCTTTTTCTGTTTTGAAAATTGAAAAGTGAATCATATCAACATCAATTTCCAGGCTTTGATATTGTACAGTAATTACACAGGATGTAACCACTGGGAGAAATGAGGTAAAGTATATACAGGGCTACCCTGTAATTTTTTTTGTTTGTTTTTTACAACTTTCTGTGAATCTGTAATTACTTCAAAATAAAAACGCTAGAAAAAAAGTGAATGAGCTTGGAGGACTTTTGTAGTTTAAGAAAAACTACAAAAATTATAACGAAAAATAAATCAAGAGCATTTATATTTGTTGTTGCTATTGTTGTTTTGTTTGTTTGTTTCTTTTCCCAGCATGGCATAGCTGGAGGTGATTTTCCTGTTGGGCTCCTTGAATTCCTCAGATGTAGCACCTAACTGAAATGAAAATTCTTAGGGCTGCCTAACACGGGACCTGAGGTATGGTCTGGTCTGCTGCATTCAAGTTTATATTCCTTATGTTGTTTTACATAAGTAGTAATTTTTATATTGTCATTACTGTTGGTATGAGGAACAAAAGCACAGAACCATATATGAATGAAATTGGCATAAAAGGAGAATAAAAAATTGAAATGGAGTTTGTATACCAAACTGAGATGACTGTCAAGCAACAACAGAGGTGCACTGAGGGTACGTGTTTAATGACAACTGCATGACCTCTTTAAACTTGAGGATCTCAGTCATGTTAAAGAAACATGCAACCCATAATATGACAAGCTGGGGAACTGGGAAATGAGAAGAAAATAAAACAGCAAATAGGAAGGTTTTGCTTTGTGCCTTGAGAGAGGTAAAAATGGTAATGGTGTCAAAACACACACAAAAAAAGATCTAAAGTCTCCATCCTTCCCTGGGATGGGGCCTCTACCACATGACAGGTGGGAGGCTGGGCAGACTGAACTCTCTCCAGAAGGAAGCTGTCCAAGGCTGAGCCAAAACTCTAAATTCCTGAGCGGTAGAGAGGACAATGGTAAAAATTGTGCATTTGGAATGAGATTTTCCTCTTCAGGATGCTAAACTTTTCTCCCATAAGTCATCCAAGATGTCACACTAGGTGCAGAATGAAAATATACATTTAACATTCCAATAGAGAGATTGTTTGTTCAGGAAACATTTAGGATGCTAAGCATATCTTTAGCCTTTTAACTGCTTTAATTTGTTTAAATTCTTACCTACAGAAAGCCTTCCCCTAGTCAACCTCACATCCATTTCTTTTCCCTGTACTTGTTTCCAACAGTGCTCAGTGAGAGAGACCAATGCTACGTAGTCCTTCTTAAATTATAAATGATCTAGAACATTCTCTTCTTATACTATTTATTTGTTCTGGCAACTTTAAGTAAGGATTTCTGTTTTCTCACATTTTACTTAAATTCCTTGTGGATACTAGTTAGTCAATCGATCCTAGATAGAAATATAGTAATAATCAATCAACTCTATGTCTTGGTTCAATATGTATTTCACTCAGAAAATCCATATTGATCTCTTCCTCCATTGTTCATCTTCTTTTTAGCTTTCAGCCAAGAAAAGAGAACTGAGTAGATAGCAATACAGTATAGCGGGAAGCCAGTAGCTTTTGGAACCAGACAAGTCTGGGTCACCTCCTCACTCTGTTTCTAGTAGTGTGCCCTTGGCCAAATTATTTAACCTATTCGAGCCTCAGTTTCCTCAACTATTAAATGGTATGATACCTACCTCATCAGATTGTTGTGAAATTTAAATGAGATTACATTTTGTAAAGCGCCCAGCACAGTGCCTGGAGACAAGACACATACATAAATATTATAATACAAAGCAATATGTGGTAAGTGCCATATGAGTGGTATGGATGAGGTAGGGAGGAGAGGGGCTGGCGATGATTATGAGGTAAAGCACAGAGAGGAGGGACAGTTGAGGCGAGCTCTGAAAGATGAGTAGGATTGCTATGAGTGGAGGTGAGAGGTGAAGGCCAGCTCAGGCAAAAGGAATAGAATGAAAAAAAGTATAAATAAAAATGACATGGTGGGTGACCCACTTTTGGTAGAATACATGATGGGGAGAATAAGATCCAAAAGGTCAGGAGGGAGGATCTTGGTTGCCCAGCTCCTCTTGGGGGAACTACTGAATATTTTTGAGCAGGGAACATTTATAATCACAAAGAGGGATTGGACGACAATACACAGCATGAACCCCCTGGAAAACAGAGGGTAAGTCCAGAGCAATGAGCAACTGGAGTAGGTTTCTAGGATCAGGGAGGTGGAGAAAATCTAAGGTGAGATTATCATTGCAAAAGGGTAGGGAATGAATACAAGTTTCACCTACTTCATGATTTTGCCTAGGGATAGTCCTGTCTCTGAGTACCTTTGGCAAGAGGAGACAACAAGAGATAGTATCAGGACACATGCATTTGGAACATCTTGGGTTACAAATCAAGGCAAGGGTTAAACATCATTTTTTTTTCTTCTTTCTTAACGTCACTGTTGACTGAATATCCTAGCACAACAACTACACTTGACTACGCTTGGTTTTCACCTCATGTGTAACAGATTGCTAAGTTATAATTCTAATATGGTCTTAATGCAGATTTTGCATTCAATTTCCTTTTGTCTCTTCCCACAAAGATGAAAAATAAATTGATTTTGCTGCTCTGTCTAGCCACCTTTATACGAAGCTGGAACCATGAAATCATCCTTATGTAATCGCCAAATGTTATGGCATGTTTACAAACTCCAGAGTCACACAAAATGCAAAATATCTTGGAACAAAATAAAAATGTTGCACCACATATGTAGAAAAGTGATGTTTAATCCTGTCACTTACTTTCAAAAAGTGTTTATTACATTTATAAATATTTCCCATTTTTGAATTCACATTATTTGTATTTCAGAGGTATGTAAAATTTATTTACAACAAAATGGGGTATTTTGTCATTTTTCCAATAATAGCTAACTTTTGGCTTCATATTTCAACCATAATTGGATATTTCTAGGTCTCCTAGACAGAATCATTGTTTAGACAGCTAAATATTTTGGAAAAAAATTTAAATTTAAAATTTCATTGCAGTAATCAGAGTGTTTTTATTTTCAGTAAATATGGAGGGTTTGTTGATATGGATTAGTTTGACGTGGTCTTACCTTTTCAGTCATGTGTTAAGACAGACCTTCCTCTTCTGAAGAACAGGGAATAATTAATTGACTCTAACAAAGTCAAGGAGAAGATGGCTGGAAGGATTGTCCTACCACATCTGAAACTATTTTTACACTGAATAAGAACAGGGATCAAAAACTTAGAGGCAACAAAATTTATACAACCAGAAACAGACTGAAATTTCTGAAAAACTGAAACATAATGGTTTAGACTACCATTTCTCCTTTCCCTAAGGTCTGTCTTGACACATCATGAATTATAACTACATAAAATACAAAGGAATAATTCCAAGGATTCCCAGTCTTCTATGATTGGACTTAACACTTTAGTAAACTTTTAGTAAATATATTTTAGCAATTATTCTGTTCTGGATCAGTTCAAGTGGAGTTCAAAAAGCTAAGGATAAAGATGATATAGTTTTCTGGATGTCATCTTGAAAGAGTTTGTTTCTTACAACCAGTTTTATAGTATTTAACAACTGTTAGCTGGTCATAATTAAATATTCAATAAATAAAATAAGATGACTTAAAAGATAATATGCTTAAAATGGTCTTACAAAGTATGTACCATAAACATTTAGGTACTGCTATCAAAGTAAAATCTCACTTAAATTTGCTTATATTTGTTCACAAATATTTCTTTGAAAACAGCCTGTAGTGAACAAATGATAATACACAATTATGTGTACAATGTGTTTTAAAAAAATAAAAATTAAAAATAAGATTTAAATATCTGACTAGAAGTAAAACCAAAGTTAATCTCAACAAATGATAAATCTGGGATGGTCTAATTCTAAATGACTTTTTATGCTTCAACA